GTAACGGTCGCCTGGGCGGAGGGCGGCTCCGCTGCCTGTGTCCCCCGCGCAGCTCGGGGCCACTTTTTTCCCCCCCTCTTTATCTAGTTACTTATTTTTGATTTATTTTCCCCCCGCTTGCCTCTGTCCCTCGTGGGCGCAGGAGCAGGCAGGGGCGCGTCACTGCGCGGCGGCCGCCCTTTCTGTCACGCTAATACTCCTCTAAGGGTGACACGCTGATGCGGGCCCGCTCCTGAGCGCTGGAAAACGCTTCCAGGCTTGTCGAGAATAAAAGGCCTTTTTCCCCCCACCTTTTTTTTTTTTTTCGTTGTTGCCGTCCAGTGACAGTGAAACATGGCAGCAGAGTGCAAACCGGAGCTTTCCAGCTCCTGTTTAGTAAAATTATACTCAATCAAGTGGGTTGAGCGGTTGTCGTGCCTGTGGGTGGCTTGTCATCGCTGCCGGTTCACTGTGGGTTGATACAGGAGCCCTTGTCTGGATCGTGCCCATATGGTAGGTACTGACCTTCTGGCCCCTCCAAGGGGCAGAGAGAGACTCTTGCTGCTCTTACAGGTGGTCGTTGGGTTTCCTGTGCGTGCAGACCCTGCGCCCAGGCGTTCCCCGTTGTCTGCCTCACACGAGGCCCTTTCCTGGCTACGGGTACTGCATATTAACCCATGTTTCCTAGCCTAGAAAAATCTGGGTACGTCAGGTGAAAACATCTGGGCAGAGAGAAGCCGAGAGTCCACCTCGGTGCTGGCTGGTCCAAAGCGCTCGTCATCAGAGCTGTGGCTCTGCTGAAGATGATCCCACAGCTCTGGTGATTGTGGCTGGACGGCCACAGCGCGCGGCGTTGCCCAAAGGGCGCCTTGTCCTCGCGTGCCCGGGCGCTTGCGAGCTGACTGTACCGCTGTCCTGCTGGTGCTGATGCCACCGTAGCCAGCAGTTGTAGGGGGTTTAAAAGCACCAGTAGTGGAAATGCTTGACTGCACGGAAACTCTCATGTTTAGCTTTGAAACAGAACCGGAAAATTCAGCAATGTTTTATACACGGCCCAGTAGTGATGCGAGGAGAGCACATCAAACATTAAGCTTGCAGTTGTCCACCTTGTGTTCAGTAAATGCTAGTTAATATCTGTTAACTTTCTACTCTCGTTTTTTAACTATGCCTGTCTTGGCCCTGGTGATGGAAAAATATTTTAGCTTTTACTTGCTGAACCTTCCTTTTACTTCAAACTAATGTTGCCTTGCTCTTTTTTGCTTCCCGCTTGTCAGGATTTGGTGGGCTTGAGACTGCAAACTCCACTGCCAGTGGGTTTAATTTTGGGGGTTTCGGCTTAACTGCTAATCCTGCAGTGAATTTTAATATCGGGAATTTTGGTGTTTCCACTACCTCCACTCCACCATTCAATTTTGGTAACAGTCTGGCAAGTGCAGGTAGATAACGCATACATGCTCGTACTATAATGAATGTTAATAGCAGAGGTCCAAGAATTATTTTCTTAACTGAGAGTCTGGATTTAGTTCTAATCTTACTTTGTATTCAGGGGGAATTGGACATAAAAGCTGTGAAATCGGAACGGGTTTGGGAGCCATAGGCTTGTAGATTATTTTGCCTATTAAATTCTCAAGAAAAAAGCTGTTGAGGGGCAAAAAAAATCGTCTGTCAAACTCTCAATTGCTGAAACAGAAACAAATCATGGAATCCTTCCCATTCTGCCTAAAGTGAAGCCTCGATTACCTGTCTGAACTGAAACGCCCCCTCTCCGTTCAGATCTGGGCAATGGGGAGTAATTGCAGAGTTGGTCCCTAGTGCCGCGTTTCCGTATGAGAGATTCTTGGACTGCTGCGGTCACGTTTTCCATCCTTCCCATGTCGTCTCATTGGCCTCCTGTTGGTTGTCCTCAATGCACCGGTCGTTTCTGTGGAGAAACAGATTTTATACGATCAGCACAAAAGTAACTGGCCTCTCTGGAGCCTCGGGGTCCCGAGCGGAGCTCTGAAGGATGTCCAGGCGGCCTCCAAAAGAGCCTCTGGGCAGTGGGTGGTTTCTCTGCCGTGTCTACACTGGAGCTGTGTTACAAAAAGCATTCACAGTCCAGTGTGGATCCCTCGATTCTGAGTAATCGGCTGATATAATTCCACTTAAATCTCTTCCATTCCACGTGGGAGTGCTCGACTGCACAGCATCAGCCCCTGGCTCTCGTTGCAGCTGCTCGTATAGGAATTCTGCTCATCACACGCACAATGTCTCTGTGCCCCGCATTGCAGCGCGCTTACCTGTCCCGTTGTTCCGGATGGGCTCGGGATTCGGCAAGAATCATGCAAAGCGAGGTGCCTATGTCAAGCATTTATTCAGGTGAAAGCACATAAAAGAAGCAAAGTACGGATAGTTACTCAAGGGGTAATACTTGCCAGCAGGATACTGAGACCGAACATCCCCTCAAGGTGGCAGATTAGTAGAGGGTTGCTGACAGGCTGCTAACTCGGCGGGCGTCCCAGCAGAGACAACATAGGCCTCAGTGTTAGGAGTCTCTCCCATTCTCAAGCTGGCTCCAAGCCCGGTGGAGCAGCTGCCTTCAGCTGTTTTTGGAGGAGGTTGGCTGTGAACCTGGCTGGGCAGCCACCTCCACGCTCCTTATCGCTCAGCCCAGGCGGGCAAACATCTTCTGTCTCAAGGCCTGGATTCTGTTTCGCACAATAGTTTTATGACCTTACGAATCATACAAATTTCCACCTCCTATATATCCGGGCACCCAAAGGATCTGACTTGGTTTTCACTTGGTGCGAATGCTGTGGAACTGTGTTTCTTGAGCTGAATTTGAGCAGTTCCTCAAGACAGCTTGGATTCTTGTTTTTACTTAGTAGTTTGCAGATTTAGATCCTTTTCTGAGGGCGGACACAAGTTGTGAAGCTCTCTACAAGTTGTGCTATGTGATGGTACTGCCAGTACAGCTCCTCACGTCCAAGCAGGACTGACCCTTGAGTGTTACAGGGAACAACTGCTTGCGTCCGGTCGTACGAAGCGTGATGCTGAAGGACAAAATGCAACTGGAAGTTAGTTTTGGTTTCTCTTTTTTTAATCTTTTATTTATACAGGAGTATGGTAAGTGCATAAGTAAGTCTAAGGACGCAGCAGTTGTATGTGAGTTTACATTTGCGGTCAGCATGCGAGCTAGCTGTGGCAGCGCCTGCTCCTCACGTGAGCCCAGGCTTGAGGCAGCCGGGCACGGAGCTGCTCGATCCTGTGCAGCTCAAGGGGCCGAGGACGGTGCTGGCAGAGGCAGGAGAGCCCCAGCCCAGGGGGCATCAGCGGAGGGGAAGGCCACGTCTCCCTGTCCCGGGAGCCACGTGCTGCTGCTCCCTTGGGCAAAGCGCAGCCCCGTGTCTGCGATGAATCCCGTGGAGCAGCCGCCTGCTGAGCGCGTGAGTTGAGCCGCTGTTTCCCCGCTGTTGAGCCCTCACCTCGGGCTGCCCGCGCGCAGGGAGCGGCGTGGCCGGGACGGCGCTGCTGCTCGGGCCCGGTGGCCGTGCGCGCCTCAGGCTCACCTGCTTCCTGTTGTTGCTCGTAAGACTTACAATGCCTTAGAAACTCACAAGATACCAGACCACTTGCTAAACAGCCAGCAACAACGTCATCAAAAACTGTTCCTGAGAATGACTGAGAGATCCTAGCATTAGTTGTAACCATTGATGAGGACAGCATGTCTCCATAGGAAAGGACTAGCCTGTTAACTACTGCTTCTTTATTATTATTATTTGCATTTCTTGCACAGCACAGATGTGTTGGCTTTCTGGTTTGCATTGTCTTTCCCATTCCCGTGGATAATGAACCACTAACCATGATCAGTGTGAAGTCTGTGCTTGTAACATTCGGCATCCATTTGTCCCCATCTCCACTCATCCCACCCCGACGCGCGCGGTTGCCTGTCGCGTTGCGCGCGGTTGGGCCTGCAGCCTGTGCTCGTCTCAGTTGTGTGCTCCCTTCATTAGGTGCTTTTGGAGGATTTGGAACAACTACCACCACTGCGGGGTCGGCGTTTAGCTTTTCTGCTCCCACCAATACAGGCACCAGTGGTAAGAGAACACAAAGCTGAAAGCAGTTGCTTTGGAATTAAGTTTAGCATCAGCAACAATTCATGTTTTGCAGTTCACAAGTAGTGTTCTCCTGCTTGGCTCAGTAACTCTTGTTTTGTCTTCAGGACTCTTTGGTGCTACTCAGAACAAAGGCTTTGGGTTTAGCACCAGCTTTGGCACAGGAACTGGAACTGGCTTGGGTACTGGCCTAGGAACCGGGTTGGGCTTTGGAGGCTTCGGCACCCAGCAGCAGCAGCAGCAGACTAGTAAGTGTGGCCTTTGCTTGTTTATGCTTGGGAACATGGTGCTGCTCTAGATTCAGGCTAAAATTAGATAAGGAGCAGCTGCAGGCTCTGAGTCCGCTGAGTTTTTAACAGATGTGTTTTAACAGAGCCTCTAACAGTGGAGATAGATAGCAGATCATGTAGTGGGTGAACGTAGATGTCTCATTAAAGAGAAAAAGAGCGAGCGTTTCCTTCTAATTTGACAGTCAGTAATTCCTATTACTGAGGAAGACCGGCTGAAAAAGGTGTTTTTAATAAAGAACATATGTGATGTAGATTTACCTGTCCAGCATGCTTATATTGCCTCTCAAATACGGAGCGGTACTGATGATAAGAGCAGCTGGTGTGCGTAAGCCAGGAGCTCACGCGTGCTTCGCTGTGTGATGCAGCGCTGGGGAGCGGCCTGTTCAGCCAGCCCACGCAGACCGCGGTGCAGTCCAACCAGCTCATCAACACGGCCAGCGCCCTCTCGGCCCCGACGCTCCTGGGCGACGAGAGGGACACCCTTCTGGCCAAGTGGAACCAGCTGCAGGCCTTCTGGGGGACGGGCAAAGGGTACTTCAACAACAACATCGCGCCGGTGGAGTTCACGCAGGAGAACCCGTTCTGCAGATTTAAGGTATGGTGGTGTTTGTACGTGCCCACCCGTCGCCAGGCCTGGAGCTCGCTTGCTGGTTCTGTGACTAAATGTCTCGTGGGAGCTGTGATAGTTTTACTGCCTGTTAAGAGTAACTGGAAACGATATTTTTGGGGAAACATGTGCAATCCTGATGCATGTTTGAAGGTGTTCACTCTGTGAATGTGGCCTGTATGGAGCAGAGAGCCTGTGCGTTGGTCTCTGCCTGTATCAGTGCAAGTGCTAAAGCTGCCTTCATTCCGTTTAGGATACGGTGAGCGGTTCTTCCTCATTCCGGTTGTCACATCAGCAAAGAATAGTTAGCTCCTCATCCTCCTCAAATCTTGTGTCTGCTGAGTCTTTTGCTCAGCTTTGGACTTAGAAGCAAATTCAGGTCAGGCAGCAAATTCAGGTCAGTTTTCTGAGCTCATTTTTTGAAGTGCAATCTTTTTGATCTGAAAGTAGATTAATGCTCAGTTAAGACTGTTTTTGATGCATGAATCAGGAGATTTTCATAAAATCTTTGCAACTCTGTGGCTGAATAAGAAACATGTGTCAGCTTTTGTACTCTTTTTGGATAATGTTCCTGAAAACTTGCTTTCATGGAAGTGCTACCCGAGGTAGCCTAGCGCTTTCTTGGGTTTTCTATTTACTGTATTTTTTTAAACAAAAAGATGTTCTCAAGTTAGACACGGTATCGGCACAAAGTGTTGTAGCCAGTTGTGTTATTGTCTCTGCCAGCATCAGACATCTATCAGGAATGGAGTTACTCAGAGGGTTTCAAAAGAAGTTAAGGAATCTGTTTTTACACAATTCCAGCTCAACATGAGCCGCAATGTGTTCAGTTTTTAGCCAAGTACAGTGTTTTAAGGCACGTGATTCAAGCCAGCCTTTGAAGAACCAGAGTGATTTTTTTTAAAATCATGTTGTAGTTAGACATTATTACATTTGGTAAGGAAATCATGGTAGTTCTTTTGAAACAAAGAAACAAAAAGACAAGCAAACAAAGCAACACAGAAGTGGTCATGGGGGTAATATGCTTGGTCATAGTACTGCTTAGAATATAATGAGCTTGAGTTTTCTGTAGACTCTCTTGATTCACAGTAAGAAAGCAGTAAGTGTGAATTCCAGAAATCCATGGATGATTATAGACACAGGATTGTACAATCCGTAGAATTGGCCCATTTTGGTAGAATTATTTTAGTGACTGGTTTTCATTGTTTCTCAGCTAGAAATTTAATTTTGCAAACTGCTTTTGTGCAAATGGATGTTCCTGACTCAGCTCAGTTCCTAAATGCCATAAACATTCTGCTAAAGTGACATCTCCTCACCAAAGAAAGAGGGGGCTGGAATACTTAAAAAATTGTTGTAAAATGAGACTGTTACAGAAGCTGCTCTACTGATGGCCCTGCGAGTGCACTTTATAAAGTAAGTTTGATTTGTGTTTTCAGTTGTCCTAAAAACTGAGGAATTTATCCTAATTTAGCTTCTCCTCTTCAGGCTGTGCGGGTGCATGTGTGCTGAGTAACAGCTGCCTGCTTTTTGTCTGTTGATTTGCAGGCTGTGGGGTACAGTTTAATGCCCAACAACAAGGATGAAGATGGCCTGGTGGTCTTGGTGTTCAACAGAAAAGAAGCAGACATCCGCGGCCAGCAGCAGCAGCTAGTGGAATCACTGCACAAAATCTTGGGAGGAAACCAGACCCTCACCGTCAACGTGGAAGGGGTTAGAACGATGCCAGATGACCAGTACGTGAACGCGACTCAGTTTTGCCCTTTTCTGCAGCGCTGTTTTATTAAGGGTTGACCCTAGGTCTATTCTGGTGCATTAGTTCGTGCTGTTGTAATGCAGCTAGTTTATTTTACTGCTACGTTGTATCTCAATTTGCTAAAGCAAGTTAAAGATTAGTCTGCTCAGAGAGGCATTAGGTTTGCTGTTTCTTGTGCGGGTGGGTGGAAGCTGCTGCCCTCTGTCTCGCTCACAGTCTCCTTGCCTTCCTCAGGACCGAGGTCATCATCTACGTCGTGGAGCGCTCGCCCAACGGCACCTCGCGGCGGGTTCCAGCCACGACGCTGCACGCACACTTCGAGCAAGCCAACATCAAGACGTCCCTGCAGCAGCTGGGGGTCACGCTCGCCATGGCCAGAACGGAGCTTTCCCCGGCGCAGGTGAAGCAGCTCCTGCAGAACCCCCCTGCCGGTAGGTAGCCCCCGGGGCCGCCACGCGGCTCTCCCGAGCACCGCCTGCCTCGGGCCTCCTGTAAAACACACCAGGGTGTCTGGCCCGCTGCCTTTTCCCTGCAACTCATCACAACTTGTCCTGGCTGACTACTCCACAGGGACTGGGCGAGTTGTTTGCTCTGTGGAGTTTTGTTTGTATGTTTGTTTGTTGTATTTGTTTCTTTGTGTGTGCTTTTGTGTCTGTTTTTCTTCATTTTATGTTTGTTTTGTGTGTATGTTGGTTATATTTTGTTCTTTTTTGTGTCTGCTTTTCTTTTTGGGCTTCTTGGTTTTATATTTTGTGTATGTGTTGTTTTGAGGTTGATTTGGTTTTTGTGTGTTTTCATTTGTATGTATGTGGATTTTTTTTTTTTGTGTATGCTTATGAGTCTGGGTTCTGTTTATGTTTCTTTTGTATGTTTGTTGGATTCTGGTTTGTTTGTGTGTCTTCCTGTGTCTGTTTTTCTCGGTGTTGTTTATTTTTCTGTGTGTCTTTGTACGGTTGTTGTATTTTGGGTTTTGTGTGTTTTTTCTGTGTTCTTTTTCTTTTTTGGGGGGGATGCTGGGATTGAGAGGGTTGATTTTTTTTGAGAGTTTTGTTTTCAAGGGTACATTGTTTTTATTGTTTTGTTCTTTTTTATTATATGGAAGATATCTTTCATAATCACAGCACACATAAACACAAAATACATGAATAGGCTTTGTAAATATTCATAAGCATGCATGAATATTCATAAATGCCCATACTCTCAAGTATTTGGAGCTCATGAATATTTATGAATGCATCCATTAGCATGCTAATAATTGCACACAATTTACATATTAGCAGATTATCATATGCACATATATTCATAATTGTGCATGCCTATAAATATTAATGACTGGACACAAATATTGAGTATTCATGAGTCATGAATATGTTAATACATAAATATTTTCATGAGCGATCATCTGGACAAGCCTCCCTCCTTTCCCCCATGCAGTCGGTTGCAGCCACAGAGACGAGCTGCGTGCAGTCTGTCACAGGCACAGTCACATGCACACACAGAGTCACACATGCAGTCAGTTTCGCAGTGACACACACACAGTCTGTCACACAACACGTGCCGTCACGTGCAGCTGCACGCATGCACTCGCAGTCAGGCACAGACAAGCTGCATGCAGTCGCATGCATGCAGTCACACCAAGTTGCATGCACAGTCTGTCAACACATGCAGTTGGTCCCACAGTCACACACAGTCTGTCACACACACGCAGTCACATTCAGTCAATTGCATGCATGCAATTACACACAGACAAGTTGCATGCACACTGTCACATGCACACAGTCACATGCAGTCAGTCGCACACACGCACAAGGTCAGTCGCGTGCACAGTCACGTACAGACAAGTTGCATGCACAGTCTGTCACATGCACACACACAGTCACACATGCAGTCAGTCGCATCACAAAGTCGCACACAGTCTCGGTTGCATGCACAAAAGTCACAGTCACATGCACAAGGGCTGTCACAGTCGCATACATGTACAGTCAGTCACATGCACACACACAGTCACACACACACACACACACAATTAAAAAGTGGATGTATAACGGCCAGAACATATATATTTTAATTGCATAATATTGAGCATATTTCACAGTACATGTTGTTCACATCCAACTTGTGTTCTTGTTTTTTTAAGGTGTTGATCCTATTATCTGGGAACAAGCCAAAGTCGATAATCCTGATCCTGACAAGTAAGTTTAACAACCAAGTATTACAAAAAAAAAATGTAAGGAGAGAAGACAAGTACAGAATAATCAGCAGAACTGTTAAGAAACCACTTACAGAATAACTTGGTCAACTAATTATCTAATTTGAATTAGTAAGAATAGCTAGAGAGGCCTGTCCAAGCTCTTTAGGCATCCAGATAAAAAGTCGTATTTCACTGACTTGCAGTGGAAACATCTGTTACCCGAGTTTGTTCATAAAATATATTTGTTCACCATCATATTTATTATTATCATTTCAGCAGCTGGAAAAGTGAGGTAGCCTTGTATACGCCAGTAGCTACACATAACTTGGGCTGACTTTTGTTACAACGTTTAGGAATAAATGAAGACTGTAAACCAAGACATACGTAAATTTGTAATGGGCCGAGATTCTCTGGCACTTTAGATGATACTCTGTTTACAACTGTCATCTAATATATGTCTGCTGTAAAAATGTGTTGTAAGAAATAATCCATTCTTGTAGGCTTATTCCCGTGCCAATGGTGGGTTTCAAGGAGCTTCTGCGAAGACTCAAGGTCCAAGATCAGATGACCAAGCAGCATCAAACCCGATTAGATGTGAGGTTTCTTGTCTTCGCTGTGACTCGCTGTTGCTGATGAGGGAGGCAGTATTAAACAAGCTTCCTTCACTCACCTCTGCTGGATGGAGAGCTACTGCTGGAACCATGCACACAGAGCTGCCTGCTGGGCTTGTCTTTGTTTTTTATTTATTTATTTTCTCTCTCTCTCATTATTCCTGCAGCTGAACAAGTGAGATACCCTTAAGTGGTTACAGATAATTCAGTGACTTCCTTCGTGGTTGTCATGAATTGTAAAGAAACTGGGAAGTTGGTATCTGCATCATCCTCAGCCTTCATGAATGGGGAACCTATCTGACACAGCTTATCTGACACAGGCTTTCTGTTGGCCCTAGTAGCCCCTTGGATGCAGTATAAATTTCCCTTTCTAGCCTGCAAAGGAAGAAGAAAGAGAGAGTTGCTCTTAATGGGGCCATTAGGCCTCTGCTAATCATAGCGGACCTGCTTGCTGGTGGGTGACAGCTGAGCCGCAGGATGTCAGTCCAAGTCTTATTACCTATAACTATCAAACATCCTGATTATCCTTCTTTTTTTCCTAGGAGCTAGGATTTTTGTTTATTATTATTATCATTATTATGCTCCTCCTCTATTTTATGCTCTGGGAAAAATCTGAGCAGTATATTTTTAGGTTTTGAGTTGCTTTTTCCAAGCTTATTGTGGTGTTACTGTTCTGCTGTGCATGAAAAGAGTGAGCAAGCAGAGCCTCTCTGGGGGACCACCAGGAGCTCCAGTACTAGTGTGCAATTAGATCTATGTGTCACATTATCAGAACGTGTCACAGCTTCCAACGGGCTCATCTCCTTGGCAGATAATATCAGAAGATATCAGCGAGCTGCAGAAAACCCAGACAACAACGATGGCGAAAATCGCGCAGTACAAAAGGAAGCTGATGAAACTCTCTCACCGGACCCTCCAGGTAGGGCGCACGCTCTGGACCACTCTTGTGACAGGCAGCCTGGAGCCACCAAGCACGCTGGCCAGGGCTGGTCACCAAGGTGACACCTGCTGTTGCCTTAACACAGGCACAGATCTGTTGGGAATCACCCCCCGGACCCGAATCTCCCTTCCTCGGAGCTGGGGGCTTGCGGTGAGGTGCCGACAGCCAAATGGATCCAGTGTGACTAGAGAGGGGCCAGAGGAGGGAGATGAGGAAGGGCTGGGGGCAAAGAGAAGAGCGGAGCAAGGCCTCCCTAGTGATTCTCAGGGGCTTCTCCTGCAGGTGTTAATCAAGCAGGAAATCCAAAGGAAGAGAGGCTAAGCCAACCAGCGGCGCGAACGACAACCAGTTAGATACAATTCAGTGTGAGCTTAACGCACCCACGCAGTTCAAGGTGAGCCACTACCAGAACCTTGCAAAACAACCTTTCTTTCCCCCTTCATAAATGATTGTAAAATAACTTCTCCAAACTCTGCCTAGCTCTTTTGGAAAACTTTCAAGCAGTGTTTCTAAGTAATAGGATCATGCTTTTTGCTGCACGACTGATAACACAACACTGAGGGTTTTAGAAGTACTAATATGCATTAATTTTAATTCTATTAAATATTAAATTGAGTTTAATCATCCCAAACTGTTAAATATTTTAATTATTAATAAGTTCTAGACATATTTTTCAAAAAGTGAGGCGAAACTGGAATAAGCAGTAATAAGCCCTTCCCTTCTCATCTGTCTCTGCAGGGCAGACTCAACGAGCTCATGTCCCAGATCAGGATGCAAAACCACTTTGGAGCAGTGAGGGCTGAGGAGCGCTACTACATAGACGCTGATCTCTTAAGGGAAATCAAGCAAGTAAGTAGCACCTGCGAGATGCCTAGGATGCTTTTTGCAAATGCACAGCTAGAACCACTCCTGGCATTACCTGGGAGGTCTATTTAGATTTTGAGGTGGCTTTCAAGTGTTTGGTGATCAAGTCAGTTTTACTGTTTTCAGCAACATCACATCAAATTAAGATTCCACGAAGTTACTCCACACAGTGAAGCTAGTAGTGGGCCAAGTGCTGTTTTTTCTTACCAGCAAATTATATGGGGTTTCTCAGCACACCAAGGCCTCAAAGCAGCTTTAAGAACTATTACTTCATCTGTCAAGTTGCACTACGTTAACCATTTTTTTTAAATAAACTTCCTGCAGCACCTGAAGCAGCAGCAAGAAGGCCTGAGTCACCTGATAAGCATTATAAAGGATGACCTGGAGGATATAAAGCTCATAGAAAATGGCCTGAACGAGAGCATCCCCATCAGAGGGGGCATCTTCAGTTGACCGCACAGCTGGCCGCGGGGGTTACACAGAAGGTGGTAACTCCACTTTGCTTTCCAAGGTCAGAAGGGGTGAGGTGGAACAAAACGTGTGTCTTCCAGAAGTGTACTGGCTGTTATCCTCAGAATTTGCAGGGCCTCTTTGAAGCTTTTCACCTTGACCTTCGGAAGGTTTTTATTTTGTAAAGCTGTGTATGCTTTAATAAAAGAAGGAAAACTTAATCTGTTCAGATACTGATTTACTATAAAATTATATGTACTATTGTACATCATTTCTATTTTTTTTCTCAACAGCATTGTCTAAAAGAAGCAATGCTGAGGGCATTGGTCCAATTGTGACTTGTTCTGTGGAAAGCTTAGCCTGCTTCCATTTGTGTCAAAAGAGCTGGCTAATAACATGATGTAAACAGCTAATTTAGATAATTAAAGTCATGTCTGTTACCTTACTGCAAGTCTTTACAATACCTTCATTGGGGGGTAAATGGCAGAAAGTTGACATTGTCGCTGCCTGGATGACTTTCTTTTTTTCTTTCTGGAAACTAATAAATTCAGTCTTACTTTGTGCTAAGCTGTGCATGGTGTTGGCTCTTTCTCAGCTAAGTCAGTATGAAAGTGAAACAGTGAAGCTGGTGACAAGGACAAGTTAATGCACTTCTCTCTCTCCTCCCTGGGCTGCAGGGGATCACGTGGCACCGCTGGGTCCTACCTGCTCCCAGGTCCTGCAGTGCAGACGTTTACCACAAGCACCAGAGACACAACTTCGAGCCCAAGTAACTTGTTTTGCCTCGTTACAAAAGTCACTTGAAATAGCTGAAACAAAACTACACGATGTTTTGAACATGAGTTCCTACAGCATACAGGACACAACCACACTTTTCCGCAGGAGGTGAAATGTTTTGTTCATTAGCCTCAATGAAATGACAACTTTTACTTCATGAAACATATACGATGGATCAACAGAAATATAGCTTCAGGATTTTGTAGAAGAGGCCTCTGCTAGGGCCTGTACTGTCTGTTCAAGATGGGAATGTTTCCAATGAAAAGAATAGCCTAAAATAAACATCTCTCACTTGTTTTTCATTCTCCATTGCACCAAAATAACCTTCAAGAAGAGCCTATCTCAAACATGCACCACAAGCACTCCAACAGGACAGTTTAGCATCCTCCCTGTGACTCTTTAAAAAGGGAAATACAACCTGAAGGATTTTGCAAGAGGTGGCTACTAGTGCCTGTATTGCACGTTGGAGATCGTGCTAATGCTGGTTGAAAAACGAGAAAGCATATGAGCAGCTCAACAGAAACAATCTAGAAAAAAAAAGATATAATTAAGGAGAGGGTTGTAGTCTAATAGTTGTCCTGCTGCCCAAAACAGTGCCTACACGAAACAGTCCTTTTACTACATTTGAACAACAATTCAAACAATTGTCTGGAGTGAAGAGCAGCTCTTACCTCTTTTGCCCAGCTACCTTCTCAAAACAGACGGTTTCTCTGAAATGGGGAAATCCACGACGTGCTGCGAGTACCCGAGCTCCGGTTCGCTTGGTTTCGCCCTTGCAGGCATGTTCCGTGCTTGGGTAGGAAGCAGTCAAGGCATCAGACCTGGTGATGCAGTGAGGGCCAGCGGGAGGCAGCGCTGCCCTCCTAGTGCTACTGCGACTGCTTCACGAGGCGGAAGGCTTCGAGGAACTCGTTGAAGTCGATGTTTCCGTCCTTGTTGAAATCAATGCTGCGAACTAAGTCACTGATGCCGTCATCCGTGAGTTCAATGTTCATGTGGGAACTGAACAGCTTCCAGGTTTGGTAAAATTCCTCAAATGAGATGAGGCCTAGGGCGGGGAGGAAGGCCTGTCAGCACAGGGCTCCCATCCCATCGCACAAGCAGCAATCCCTGCTCGTGTTCAAGTTCTCAGCCCATCCCCACTGCCTGCAGCCCTGAATTGAAGGAAGTCACTCATACGCATCTACCTTTCAGGTGCTACAACTGAATTTCCTAGTGTGGAGAGCAATGGGTAACATACAACTGAAAAGTGAAGAGCAGCAAAGGACCATAATGTTGTTTGGGAGAACAGTGGAAGGCCAAGACAACAGTATTTTCTTTCCCAAAGTGGTTTGGTAGGGTGGCTGCTGACTTTCAGCTACCACTCAGATGCCAGCCCATTACTGTATGCTCTCATATCTATTTTTTTCCTACTAAATTCCTCCAGAACAACTAACTACAACTTTTTGCCCTGGCTGCATGTGTTCCTTGGAAAGGTCTCATGTTTGTGGAAACGTGTCATGACATTCCCAAAGCCCGGGAGACTGTTAACACCTTAAACCGTTATGCAAAAATGCATTCGCGTATGATAAAGGGGAGTCCTAAAGAAGAAACAGAAGATGTTGACCAAATTCCCCCACGCGCCTCTCTTACCTGAGTGATCTCTATCTATGATCCTGAATATGGTTTCCAAGTTGGATCTGTTTCGGTAAATGACTTCCAGCAAGCCCGACTGGATGTGCTGGAAAAGAATATGGTCACGCTCCTTCTCTAGCTCCCACCTACCACCGCGGAGCTCGGTGTGTCTCTGTGCAGCCAGCACACATGCTTGGCCCCGTGCAGCTGTCCCGCCCCGCGCTTGGGCAGCAGGCCCGGAGCCCGCCAGCCCTCACCTCCCGGCTGCGCTGCTCCATCGCCAGGTCGTCGAGCCAGGACTGGTACTCGAGGGCGCCGTCGGCCGCGCTGCGCACCAGCTGCGGGCGCAGCATCCGCCAGGGCAAGCCCAGGCGCAGGACGGACTCCACCGCCGTCGCCCAGTTGCTCAGCGTGATCCTCCCTGCAGGGGAAAGGGAGACCCTTGGAGATCTCTGAGGGACAGGAAGCCGAAAGCCCATTAGGATAACAGTACACGCCTTCTTCAGGGCCACCACTTGCTATACAGCTGTCCCATTCAGGCGCAAGCAAAACTCTCTAGTACCTCTGCTCCCTGCTGAGCTGGTGGAGTGATGGGACAGCAACACCGCAAATACATTTAACAACCACCCCCCCCCCCCCCACCAAAGCAAAACGCCCTCCCGGCACCACCACACAGCACAAGCACACGCGCCAGCTCTGCGGGCTGCCGTGCTTCACACCTCTGTGGCACAGCTGAGTGCTCTGCACAGGAGGAAGCCCTGCAAGCGCCATGCAGAGTCACTGCAGGACACGAGCACTTGCTGCTCTCCCCAGCCTGCGAGAAGCTCTTTATTGCCACAATAAATCCAGGCAGCAGGGTTGGAAACCTCCAAACACTGAGGAAGAGCAGGATGATACTAACTTGTTTTTTTTTCCACTGCAACCCTGTGGCCCCTGGCCAGGTCTGCCCTGCAGGCTGTTGCTCTCCACAGCTCGGTTAGCAGTTTCTCAGAGACCCAGGAACCTAGAAAAGCCCCTACTTTACCAGCTGCTCTACCAGCGAACATGGACTTTTGAAACCTACTCACAAGGGATGGAATAGGCACACGAACACACTTCTACTGGGTGCTGTTTCCCCCTCTTGGACAGATCTCAGTAGCTTGTCTACATCACTGCCCATGCAGAGCACTACTACGGAAGTAGCTCAGGAATTACAAATTCACAGCTCCCAACTTAAGGCCCTGACAGAGGCAGCTACTGCTGCAGGCACCAGCTCCCTTGCTCTCCGCATGCCACCGGTCTTTGACTCGGGGACTGAAAGGGCTCAAGAGAGCACGCGGCCTTCCCTGAGACGTGGCTGTAGCCTTCCTGGATGCCTTATCCTGTGCTTTATCAGTAATCCTGTTCCAAATGTTTTCCTAGGGCTGAGTCTAAATTGTTAAAAAAATGAACCTAAATGCCTCTGGCTCTTCCTCCTGATCCCTTCCTCATCACAGCACCACTCTGAGACATTCACAGGTTCCTAGCAGAGACACTGAATAGCAGCAAACAGGACAAAATCTCTGACCAGGTCAGAGGTGGCCTCCTCGTGACGGAGCAGGTTGCACTTCCATGAGGAGCCTCTCAAGCAACCACGCGCTCAGTTTGCCCTCTCCAATCCGGGGCCACCAGGGAACTAGCTGGGGTTTGTCCTGGCTCAGATTTACCTGTACCGTCCTTATCGTAGGCCTTGAATGCGCTGCTGAGGGCTGACGTGTGAGCAAAGAGCTTCTCCCGCAGGGCTCGGAAAGCTGACTCTTCCACGCGGCTGATTCTGGAGGATGCAGAAAGACAGAGAAACATCTCAGGACTCAGCACAACCTGCAAGAGTTGCCACCCTGCCCCATTCCTCTGGCCTTGCCTCAGGTCGCCTGCACTCCTGCACAAGAGCCCTGCGCTGCCACGCTGAATCGCGCCGCCTGCAGCAAGTCGCTGCGTCCCTGCACACCCCGCACCCCTGCCCACACGAGCTGGCAGCCACGAGCTCAGGCCCAGGGAGGAACGCTGCATCCCAGCTAACTTCTGCCACAAACTCCATCCATAGCTGGCTCACTTCTACAATACCAGTCGCAGAGGCTTGTGATAAATCTGCGACTTGGGATGAAGGGGAAAGGAGCTTCAGCAAGCATCAAAAGTTAAAAAATTACACTGAAAAGCTGTAAAACAACAGACTAACCTACATCCCTCTTCCAGGCTGGCAACCCTCCCTCCCCACCCACTGAATCTTCCTCAGAAAAGGCCGGACAGCCTTGCCTTTGGGTCATGGTGAGAGTGTGGGCTGTCTTGTTCGCCTGATACTGAACAAAGTGGGGGACCAGGTCTGGCCCCAGCTTCACGTAGGCGCCCCTGTTGCTGCCAATCTCGTAATAGTTGGAGGCTGAAAAGATGGTCAGAACCTAACCCGAAAAAGGACAGGCATTTATAACCATATATACACCCTATATACACATCAGTGAAAGCAGTGAAGCAATATGATCAATGCCAATCTGCAGTCAACAGCCTGTGCCGGCAAGCTGCAGTATGCTGAAAAGGAAGAGCAAGGGGGCAGGCTGGCTGGAAGCCTCAGGGGAGCGAGCACCGACCTCGTGTGGGGCTCCTGCTACTTCACAGTGCCCCCCAGCAAACCTCTGCTCTCCTTGGTGCCACACAACATCAGTGGCTTCAAACTGTCCTGACCGACAGTTGCCGTAACTCCCAATAAGGTATCAAGGATTTCATATGTACTTATCAAAATCCCCAGGGAAAAATACAGAGCTAAGCAGCAGCTTCCCAGGCAGCCCCACTGGGCAGAGTGGAAAGCCAAGCATGCCAAACCCGTCCTCCCCACCGACCTTCCGGTTGTGGCAGAACTCGTAGCCCTCTTGCTTGCACTCGTGGGAGCGGATAAGGAACTGCAAGTGGTACTTCTCAAGGATCTTCGCGGTCACGTCAGGCCCGAAGTAGCAACCGCCACCTCGCACGGTGTTCTCTCTGCAGCCCTCCTGAGGCATGGGGTCACTCCAGAGAATGTCTAAGATCTGCAAGGATCGGAAAGGCCCGCTGCCAAATATGAGCCACGGGGCTGTGTGGCACGGGAGCAGCAATCCATCATCCGTCGGTGTTTGCCAAGCAACTACAGCACTGGACTGCAAAGAAACAGAGATGCCTCCCACCTCCACACCAGCCTCCCACCCTGCTGTGCAGGGCTGCATGACCTGAGCCCTCACTGAGGGGCACGGCTGTTGGCCTTGAACTACATGCACACCCAGAGCATGTCTGGGCACAGGGGTAGCCATAAACAAGGCCTGAAACAAGCCTTCCCTTGGCTCCCTCTAGACTTCCAAGAGCCTTTCCTGTCCTCCTCCAAACACAGGACCCAGAGCAGGAAATGCTGGCAGATCCTAGGGCCAAGAGCATGTTCACCATTAAACTGCTTTGCTCTCCGGCCGGGACACTCAGCAGCCTCCAGTAACACAAGTGCTGACTCAGTAGCCACTATTTGGATTAGACATAATCTCTTTAACCCTGACCTCAATATGCAGCTTTACCCCGATAAGGTGTGCAGTGCGTCAGGTTATCATATGTAACGTGAGGTAGGGAACAGCTCTTCCACAGCTCACAGCAGAGGTTCACAAACAAACTAGCCTAGCAGAAACAGGAAATGAGGTTCCCAGGCTCTGACCTCCCCAGCAGCTTATTTGCAGGAACTGGCTAAAAATGCAAACTCCATATGCTATTAAGTGCTCCAAATCATGACTCCTTCATCAGCAAATGACGAGCTCTCTAATTAGCTACATGGCTGACTACAGGTACCCCATGTACTCAGTGCACGACATAACCTGGCTCTACAGCCAGGCTTGTTCAGTATTTCCCTCCCTTGCTGAGGGCCATGAAAACCTGTGACTCACGCGACGCCCGGGCAGCAGCGTTGGGGATCAAGCCCTAAGCTCAGCAAGTACAAAGAGTGGTGAAGAGGCTGACTTGGAGAGGGCAAGAAGAAAGCCCAGCAAAACAGGACATAGCACTAGTCTTGCACACAGCCAGAGCTCACAGCTCAGAGCTGAATGCCTCCTGAAGTCCATTCTACAGGGCAGCAGAACCTCCTTTGCAGGGAGGGCATATTTTATAGCAAGATTCTTGGTAAGAGCAGAGAGAACAAGGCTGCAGGAAGCACTCACAGCTCCCGGAGCCCAGGGCCCCGCTTACACTACTCACCTGCTTCCACTCCTCTTGGCGAGTCCAGCACGGCGCATCCAGGTCAGTCATGGAGACCAAGCTGGAGTAGGTGAGCTCCTCCTCCTCCGACTCGCTCACGTCCACGAGCCGGCGGCACCGCTCGATTTGCTCCTGCACTGTCTGCCGCACCCACCTGGAGAACTCCAGCCTGTTGGCCATGCTGGGAGCCTGCGCTGCCCGGGGCTGCGGGCACAGGCTGATTGCTGCATCTTGCTCTGCTGAGGAAGCCTCCGCTTTGTCCTCCCCATTTATTTCCTGTATTTCCACATTTCTATTCGACTCCTTTCTCTTCTTCCCTCTCAATACAGAAGTAAACTGAAAGAGATAAGAATAAAACATGACCAGGTCACAGCTTGGAAACCCAAGACTCCAACTCTAACATCTTCCAAGGTCATCTGTTAATCCAGCCATGCCCTGAGTCTCAAATCCCCTCTCCATCATCAGATGCTGATTAACTGGGCAGGTTACTAGAGCATTGGACGGGCTTGGATGGACCATTTCTGCTTTAGAACCAGTGACTCATGCCTCCTGACCACATCTCTTATTTTTTTCATTGATTTTATGCTGCTCAGACACTTCACAAAAGGTCAATCGCACAGATTGTGTCTGCAATTGGAACCAGGCAACATCACCGCCCCAGCTATAATGCTTATGTCTTCCAGAAGATAAGCTTCTTCCCCTTACACCTTCTCTATACACCTTATTGAATCAAAATGATCCACTCCAAACCTGTGGCCAGACACACTTCGGCTAATAAGAACTACTTTTATTTTTGTCTTGTCTCCAGCCAAGTTGAAATGAAGGAACATTCCTTCCCCAAAACAAATCAGCAAGACACATGTCCGGCAGCATCTAGGAAAGAACACCTACTTTGTGCCTTTGAATTTTCTCAAGCATGTCCAGGTCAGTGGTATCAGAGATGCCGCCGTGTATAATCAGGACTTTCTCATCAATGAGGGTGGCCAAGGGTAGCCAGCAGAAGACATTCTGTATCATCTTCAAGATTTTCCTTCCATGCACCTAAGAGAACAGGGCAGAAGGGAAAAGAAGCATGGAGCCTTCGAAGTGCATGCACCACACGGTGGAGGCAGACACACAAACACATGCCTACCTTGTATTTCTGCATGACTTCCTTGGTGAAACCATAACTAAAGAAACAAGAGAAAGGAGGGTCAGTGAGATTTTGCCATGGCTCCTTAGCACTGCACAGTGGCCCGCGCTGCGCCCATACCGTAAGTTGACCATGTGGTCCTCGTGGTTTCCTCGGTTGAGATGAACCTCATTTGGATAGACCAAGAGGAAGGTAAAGAGGACAATGAGGATCTCAAGGGACTGTTTGCCTCTATCTACGAAGTCCCCATTGAACACGTAGGTCTTAGAAGGGGAAGGAAGGCCATTCTGTGAAAGCAAGAAACAGGTGGATGTTACAAGAGAGGCCTCCCCACGATACTGCCCCCAACACACGCAGCGCTGGATTGCAACAACGCCCATCTACATATAGCACCCCTCTAGCCCTGCCCCAGCTCACGCTCTGCAATACATCCTGACCAGCTTTTTAACCCTGCAGGCTAACAGTGGCAAAAGCACAAAGAAAACTGCCATGCACGAAAAGGGTACAAGCACTTAAAACAAGGCATCCACTGGCACTTCTCAAATGTGCATTAACATGACCATGGGTCTAACAGGCTATAAAAGCCACTGAGAAAATAAGCTTCAGCTTTGTGAAGCACTTGAAAACCAGTCAAACTGAACTAGAAAACTGAACTTCAAGTGCTCAGTTCTGCAATATACTTCTCAGTGTGACCGCTCAAATCAGGCCACCCTCCCTCTCACCAAAAACAATGATGCGTACCTTATAAAATATGAGGAACAAGTCATCCAGCTGGCCATGCAAGTCTCCTAGCAGGAATAAAAATACGTATTGCAATATGTTTAGCCACCTCATTGGTATTTAACATAGAAATAAATACTTCTAACTTGAAAAGATATCCATAAAATAACTTCCTATAAAGTATCTTCTCTATCAATTAATGACCACTGAAAGACTTCAGGAATTTTAAGGTCCACACTTACACTGAGGCAATGTACACAGAGGAAAAGGGCATGGAGTAAAGGCTTCATCTAAAGCCTGGCGAAGATAACAGAAAACCTATATCAGCTTCTGAAGACTCCAAATTAAAAGCTTAGCCCTCTTTTCTCTCCAGTTCAATGCAGGGCAAGATGGATCAACAAATTGCTTCAACTCAACTGCTACATGAGAGAAGGCTCTGCACAGAAAACACTCAGTAATCAAACTAAAACTTCATTTGACATGATTCCACAATGAAGTTTCTTTCCTGGAAGCTGCCTGCATGAAAACGTTCTGCGCAAATTTAGTATTTTGCAGAAATATCCCAAAGTTTAAACAGTGCATGAAAACAATGCTAAAAAACTTTGTCTCCTTCAAATGTGCTCAACAGATGACTTACTGTGAGACTCACTCCCTCAGCTTACTCCGGGCAATGTCTCAAATACTGGACCCTAACGTAAACCTGGATATTTTACAGACAACCCCAAGCATCAAAAGTTCCACAGGAACTTAAGGAAAAATTTCTTGACAGTGAGGGTGACAGAGCACTGGAACAGGCTGCCCAGGGAGGTTGTGGGGGCTCCTTCTCTGGAGATCTTCAAAACCCGCTTGGACGCAGTCCTGTGCCACGTGCTCCAGGTGACCCTGTGTGTGCAGGGTGGTTGGACTAGATGACCTCTAAAGGTCCCTTCCAACCTCAAGCATTCTGTGATTCTGTGATTTTAATTCCCTCTCAGCACAAAGCATGCTTTGCACATGGACGAACTGCATTTGTGTTTCACACTCAGCACAGCATGGTGCCCACGCTACATCTCACAGCATGCGAACCCCTCTACAGAAGCCCTTCCGCTTGCCTCTCCCCTCCCACCCAGACTCACCGCACACGGTGACCTCCTCACTGTAGCAGGTGGAGATGTGACTGATGTTTGGCAACTGCTTGAGGTGCTTCCTGGTCTCATGCAGGAGGTTTAAGACATAGCGAGCATGAAGCTGCTACTAGGAGAAAGCAAAGGAATTAGAGCAGGAAAGCAGTGACCACTGAGCAGCCACATGGCTGTCTTCACAGGCCCCAAGGACTCACAGATGTCACTGCGATAGCCTGGATGGCAACATGAGTGGCATTTGAGGGCAGCCATGCTCAGTGGGAGCAGTAGAATGAATGCAGTGATCCTGGGTGTTTCTTATAACTTTTCACTATTCTCCCGATTTTAAGCAAAACTCTCCATATGGAAACAGCAAGTGCAGCCTTTGATAGGCAGCTGGCCCCACACGTCACTCCTCATGACTGTCAGCACTAACCCATGTGCTTACAAACAGGACAAGACGAGTAACAAGCAACGGCACCAGAAAAAAAGTCTTGCCCAAAGCACTCCAACCTTGGCCAGTGGCATGGCTACCCTGCTGCCCTAGTCTAGTCAAAGCTCTGTCTACCGGGCAACAGCACTCCTGAGGCAGCTGAAATTCCACCCTGATATCAAACATAAGATGCAGCTAATCCTCTAGATTTTCCTTAGCCTTTTCCACATTAAGCCAGGCTCTGAGGTGCAGTGTGTTCTAGAGAACACGTGCATTTGAAGCCAAGGAGAAGGCATGCAGTATTAGCCAAGACACTACAGATTCTTGCTTTGGAACTGTTTCTCTTCTTATTTTGTTAAGCAAATTTAATTTGTTAGGAAGCCTAATGACAAATTATCTATCTCACACCCTGGCAAATATTCACTTCATATTTGCTTCATGAAATCCCTGCCCTCCTCTGCAGCAAAGAAAAATATATGCCCTCTTTGAAACTTGTATCACATCATTTGAAAGACAGAACATCCATTCAACTTTCAATTTGCCATCACCACACATACAGAGTGAAGGCCAAAATCTCCTAATAAATTCCAGCGGACAAAGTTTTCAAGCAAGCCGTTCTCACTGACTGTAACAAAAAGATCTCACATACATTACTGAAAAGCACAGATCAAGTCCATACACTTGGAAGTCTAAAAATCACCCACTTGACATTCTTGGTGCAGAGAGAGGACCCAGAGGTTGCTTTTGGGATCCTTACTTGTTTCTGTTTGAAAGCTTCCAATAAGGCAGTTGCATGGTCAGGAAGGAGTGGGAAGGAGAGACGGGGTCCAATGTAGGAGCCTGGCACCTCCATGGATTCATAGTCACAGTATTTTTCTAGTTCTGCTTCTTTGACACTTTCCCCACTTACGAACATGCGACTGATGAAATCTCCTGGACGACCGATGGGTTGGTTGATTTTTGGTTCAGTTTTTTAGGAGAAAGAGACAAGGGAAAAGCTGATTTGGTTCAGTACACCTTTTCTGTCTGCTAAAGAGAACCTGTTTGCTTAGGCTAAAGCTCACATGCAACAGCGGCAGTGGAAACTAGCTCCTAGTTTGACGCTGCTGCAGCATTTGCTGCGGGCAAAAGGCTACAGGGACCGGATTCAGCCAAAGGTCTGTGTGCCATATGTGAAGCAGTGCTTGCACGTACAGCAATTTTGGCAACACCTGGGCAGAATCACATGCAAGCTGGCTGCTACGGCTAAGTAAAATCTTATTGACAATAACATGTAAAACAGCTTAGCAAGTTACTGTCTCCATTTTTCTTACACTCCATTTTTAATACTCCTTTATCTATATTCCCAGTACTGTATAAAATCTTTGCAAATAGCCTTTTTTTTTTCCCAAGGTGCAAAAATACCCATGGTTCCAAAGAGCTTTGCTATAAAATAAAGAGTGGTCGTGAGAAAAAAAGAGGGTAGCTTAAAATGAAGCACTTGAGCAGGTTCACATCAGCAGTATAAACAGTTAATACCCACAAGTTTCCATTAGATTTCAGAATGACCTTCCTTAGGCTCACAGCATTAAGAACTCACATATAATGCTGTCTGCAGACTCAGGAAAATACCATACTGGTTCCCACTGCACTTTTCTCACCGCAATTACAAATGAGAGATTCAGTATAAAAAAAAAAAAAAAAAAAAACAGATATTAGGGAGCATGATTCTATAAAGATGGATTTTCTAGTTTCAGGTACGGATTCCGCAGCACCCTGATTACCAGGCATTATTGAAAAAAGGCAGGTTTCTGCTATTGCTTTTACAAAACATAGCAAGCCCCGATTCTCCCTTCTTGTTCCTAAGGAAGTAGAATTGTTTCACATGCTTCACACAGCCCGAACAGTCTCCAGATAATTCATTCCGTATCTAAATTCCTGAGCAACACCTCAGGAGGGCCCCTTAGCCAGCATGAAGGGCCAGCAGAGAGCCACGAATCAAGAGAAGGTGCAATGTTACGTGCCATATCTACAAATGGCGTGTGGAAACTTACGCTCTTTACTGCTGCTTGGTGTGAAGTGGTCCATGAGGTAACTGAAGAAGTTGTGAAGCTGCAAGAAGACAGAGAGAGCGCTAAAGTAAAACAAACCAACTAGGCTTCCTTCGCATGTTCTTTGGAAAAGGACTGTGGTATTAAAAGCACTTTTGGGGTTTACTTCATGATTCATTGCTTGTGGATTCAGCATGCACAAGCAAACAGGAAAGTAAGAGGCAAAATAGGGGACAAGTGTTCAATTACAACACAGTCCTTGGCCCACAGAAGCACTTACTGTATCCAGAAACAAGTGAGTCAGTGGAATAGAAACTACCTTCCTCTTTGAGGATGCAAAAAAGTGGCCCTGTCAAGGGCAGCCTATGCAGGCTGCTTTATATAGGCCATTTCTTGTGCTCTTGTGCAAACTGCACAGCATCCTAAAAGACATGTCTACATCTTGTACCCTCAGAGAGAAGGCAGCCCCTGTTTCTGCCTTCAAATTTAGTTCCAGCACACAGAGATTGCTTCCAGGCACAAACTAGGAATTAAACTCAGCCACTGCTGAAACTGCACAGAAAGGAAGTTCTCCTACATAACTCCTTTCTCTGGCGCTTTACCTTGATCTGATCCTGCTCGCAGGCATACTCAATGGATTGAAATATTCGCCAGGTGCAGCGCCGACGCATTTCCAGACGAGCAACGTAGCGTCGATACCACCTTTGGATCAGGACGGCTGCCTTGAAAGCTAGGACACAAAACCAGAAACAACATGCTGAGCTGCAACTGCTGCCCCAATTCAGAGACTCCCCCCTGTCCCTTTACTGACCTCAGAAATTAAAGATCTTTCTCATTTAGGAACAAGTATTCAGGAAAGGTGTTCTGAACCCTAAATATTGAAGATAGCAAAACAACCTCTTCTCTTTTCTAAGAAGCAAGCTGATCTTGCAGGACCAGAGACCTCCACAGAGTTTCTAACCATCACTGCCAGCTCCTTAGTATCAGTGTTACTTAACAACACTTTTTGATATCTACAGGCTCAGCTACATTATTTACTATTAATAGACCATTTAATCACTTTCTCTCTACCTTCATCATTATCATGTCCCACCTCACAGTCCAGGTACTGGGGCTTCAGGAAACAAGAGACCGCACTGAACCTACGCTATGAGTCAGGTGAAAACAAGACACTGAGTCCCCTTCCAGAACCTTAAAAATATAGACTTCGTCTAACTTGCTTAAGCCAAAGCAAACCAAACACAAGTATTGTGAAGAGGGAAATGGATCTTCAGCCACTGAGTGATGTAGAGAGAACGAAACACTGGGCATTTCCAGGTTCCTGGTCACTGTTCAATCCACAGCCCACAGTGGCATCAGACTCTTTAAAACGATGGCCGCTTCCACTGCTATTTATAACCTAACCATCTCCCTGCATTTCCCCAGTTCTGCGGGTTTTGAGAGAAGATCATTTCAGATGGCGTGTGTGCACATTTAAAGCACTTTGCCTATTCCTTTTTCACTTTCTGCCACAGAACTATATGTACCTCTATAAACTTTCCTATCCTCCTTAACTGGCCTTGAGCCATTTTTAACTGCCTGGTTACCTCAGACCATCTTGCCAGTCAGCTCTGCTACTTGACAGCTTTCTTTTCTTTTGTGTTCCTTTCTGTTCATTTTTGGAGCTCTACTTTAGAGTCTTCTGCTTAAAACTTTTTCTAGCAATGCTTCTTTGTGTCATCTTCCACTGAGGAAGGGACAACTGTTTTATCTACAGGCTGGCTGGCCACAAAACCAAATGCATGGTACAGAGCTAGAGCTAGCCTGGCTGCAGAAGCTTGTATTGCTTTGGTAGAGTTTGGCATCTGGTCTGTAAGAGATCACTGCTGTGTCCACCAAAGCAGGTAGAGCAATAGGTATGTGGGGTGGAAAGGTTTTATAGAAAAGAAAGGGTAAAAGAAAACACTGAAAGCTGCTAAGCACAGGCAGAAACAAAGAGATCACTTTAATTCAATTAGCCTGTATTATATAACATAAACCACCCA